AAAAAAAAACACTTAAAATGAAATAAGTAATCAATTATCAAGTTCCTACTATATTTATGTAATATATAATTTATTATAATTATTAATTATGTGTTTAATAAATAATAAATTTTCATAAATTTTCAAAAAACGCAGCGGCCAAAACGCATAGTGTGGCATACACGATATAAAATTATGTGTTTTGATGACACGTCCTGCCAACTTGTTTCCCGCCCGACCGCAACATGTTGCGGTCATCGAGCGGCAGGAATCGTCAGGTCCCGACAAAACGCACTAGTGTGACATCTAGAATAAGAACTCTTGTGAGTCGTTAATCCGGTCGACCGGATGCGTTTTGACCGGACCCGCCAAAACGCATGGTGTGGCAGAAGCCTTACTCGTTGGTAATATAATAATTGAAAAACAAAAATAACCGATAACCGTCGGCGGGTCGTTCTGTATACTGTATACAACAACCGAACAATTATAAAAATAAAAATAGTTTATTATGAAAAATTATTTTTTTTTTTATTTTACATAATATTATATAAAATATATACAATGATGCACAATGAGCATATTTGATAAGAGGTATAATAACAATTATGAAAAATAAAAATATAATATAAAATCCTACACAGTTATTATTGTAATACTATTATTATTATAAATTATTATCGTCATTCGTCGTAATATTACTATTGATGTTATTGTCTTGGGTTGTTGCGTGGTGCATCTCAGACTGAGTTTCGTGATATACGCCAGTAGTATTTAGTGTATATTTTTGTCATTTGTTTAATATTCTTAATAATTTAAAATGTCAAAAAAATATAAGAATGGTTCAATGAAGAGAAAATTAAAGGATAAACAAGATGAAGAAACAAAAAAAACTACGGGGTAGTTTAGATAAATTTACATTTAGAACAAATTCATCTACTAACGCACAATCGCTAGGTAATAAACTTTTAATAATAATGTTAAGTCATACTCTTATATTATGTACTATTACTTTTATAAATTAACACGAATTATTATATTTAACAACAGAGATGGACAATTCTGGGGCTCAAAAAAATAAATTGTACTGGGCCCGTGAATTGGTAAATCAGGCCCTGCTTAGATATGACTTAGTGGTTCGTGGTTGATCCATGAAACTGTATAAAACCATTAATCAATTTTCATACAACCCCGCTTGGCGGCATAATATGAATAGTTAAATTCGAATTTAAGTATAATTTGTGTTTCCGAATAACTAATAACTGTATTAATAATTACATCAACAGTTTTTAGGATATTAAAAATAATTTAGGTCAGAAAACATTTTAATAAATCAAAATCGTATAAGGTCTTAGATCACTCTGCCATCCCATGATATAACTTAATAGTTAATTACACCTCGTTTCATTCTATTATTTATATTAACAAAAAAATAATCTAAGCAGCTTTTTTGAAACCAGAAAAATAAATACAAAGCAAAAAAATATATTGCACCGTATTTGTCTAGTGATGAAACCAAGCATTCTTCTTGTAATCTTGTGCAAAAATAAAGACTCAAAATAACGCCGGTAGATAGCAGTGTCGTTATCGTTCGATGAGTGGTCTGAATTAGTCGTATATTATATTATAAAAATAACTAAAATTATTTATTATTATATAATTTATATTTCATATTTTCATAATAATAACAATATTAGAAACTTCCAAATGGATTACCTACCATTATACCACGCACAATAAATATTATACATACATACAACCATTATGTCATATACTCAAATACCTAGGTAAGTAAATCACATTACAAATTTTGAAATATCGGATCCATTATTATTGAAATTTGAAAAAAAACACGAAAATTTCATGTTTCAACAATATATCCTATGATGCGTATCCGCAAGCCCGGATTATATGTAGATCTATCTGACCTAGGTCGATGTTATGTTTTAAAATTACGCCTTTAAAGGATTGTACGCAAAATTATCGCTGTTGAGTGTATCGATTAAGTTAATTTATCTAGCTATTATCAAAGTACCTACGCTACGTAATAACTAATACCTATAGATTAAAATGTGTTCTTGGTGGGTAAATTTGAGTTTGTTTATCAACAAATAATTATTTTTGCCTTTTTTTTTACGCTTTAAGTGTTTTTTAATTAGGTATTTACACTGCATTCAAATATGAAATAGTTCAGATCCGAACACTACCGATAACAGAAAAGTTTCTACCAGCTGACGACTCATGTTTATCATAATATTATTATTTATCTCTATCGTGCAACGTTTATGTGAATTCTGATTGTAGTTGTAGTAAACTTTTAATACAGACTGCAGCATACCGCATAAGTCGGCATAACACCACTACAGGAGACGTATATTACAGTGCCTACTGTCTACTGCCTATATAATAATGCATTCAATATTTTTACTTTACATCATTTTACATATCTAAAATTTTGAAGCCATTACAGGCTGACAGGCAGTACATAATATTTAATAATAGATATTTACTTTAGTTTTAAATTATTTCTGTGAAACACGATTCAGATATTTTTTAATATTATAATATTAACTGGTAAAAGGCAAAAAGGCCTAAATGACAGTTCTATTACTTTTCAAGAGTGTAAAATTAAAGTTGACGGTATTTTTTTTTTTTTGGTATTTCTATTAATAAAGGAGGCTTGTTCAAAATAATAAAAATAAAATAATCAGAAGAACTCTGGTGTTTGTGTGTTCAAAACCTTAAATTGTGTTTTATCCCTTACTCCTATTAGTCTTCACTATATACGCCGTGTAGCTTAACCTCTTATATTTCACTAGTAGATATTATATAGCAATAATAAACTAATAAAGTATAACATGTATAAACTCTGTTTTTAGAAAACAAAAGTGCTGTAAATTATACTTCAGAAATTATTTTCCTGGAGTTAAAAAAGACATTAAACACAAATTTAAAAATATGGGTATTATTGAAACCCAAATGATAAATGCATACGAAATTACGAAAACTACTTCATATGAACATGTGAAAAATAACTGCGATTTGTTTGGTGAATTACCAATTATAAAGTTAAGTGAGTTTGAAAAACATACATGTGTAAACATAATGAAAGAAATTAATTGTTTTATTTTTCTCGCTAAATCAAATTTACTTGTTTTTATTTATAATTATTTAGATTTAATGTGTCAGCATATCTCATCCTATTAAAATTCTTAAAATCTGGTTACAAGTATAATGATATTTAAATGTTACATCATGTTAAGTTATTTGTATTATTATTGTCTATTAGTGATGAATTTGTTTTAAATTAGATCTTTATCCTCGTTGACATCTGATAAGAGTAGCCAATAGGTCTTGAGGCAGTTGTGGTTTTAACCGTCGGTTTTGTTTAGGTTCCCAAGTTTTAAAATTGTGCTCCTTCAGAGACTTAGAGATTGGTGTGGAAATGTTTGAATTGGATTTTAATCCAGTCTTGGAGGATAGGTATTCCAGTGTTATTTTGAATTTGCCTATTATTTATGATCCCTGGGGTTTTTGGGGTATATTCTAATTAATTTGTTCTGGAAAAATTCGATTTTATTTATTTTTGTTGGAGATGCTGCTGCTCATATTGGGTAGGCGTATGTGATTAGTGGTCAGCATATTGAGGTGTACAGTAAGGTAGATGATTTTATTATTTGGAGAATTGATTTAAAATTAACTAAAGGTTATAGGTTAAATTTGTTCATTTTTGTATATCCTTTGGAAAGTTTTTTATTTAGATGAATTTAGTCAGATTTTCGTCTAAGAACACGCAAAGATACTTGACGGAATCGTCTTCTTTATTCCATTCTATTGCTTGGTTATCATTGAGAATGAATTGGGAAGATTTTTGCTTCACTTTTAAATAGGTAATTAGGTTCAGTTTCCATTTTTTATAACCAATTGGTTACTGTATATAAAAATGTTTGGAGATTTTGAATTAAAAATTCCAGGGAGTTACTTCGAGTTATTATTGTTGTGTTTCATCCGCAAACATCTCTAGATGACAGTTTGGGGGGGATTTGTTATGCCATGGCTCATGACAGTAAATATTGAAGAGAGTAAATTTACTTTCATTCAATAACTGTCATTATCAGCTTTTTGAATTAAATACTTCAAAAATTTAAGACTCTGGTATTAACTTCACAATCCTTGATTTATTTTGAATTAAACCGAGTATATTTGTTATAAAATATACTAATTAATAATTAATAATTTTATAATAAATAAATATATATTAATATATATTTTATTAATAATATTATTTTTATAATATTCACCACGAGGCATGAACAATTTCCCTGCAAACCATCTGTCATTAGCTATGTATATATCAGCCCGCTTCAAAATATTTTCTACCCATCACAATATTTATACTTCTTCTTCATCACCTGTATGTTGTACGTAACACCACGAATACCATAAACTACTTCACCATCGAAAATTTATTTTATTTTCTTAAAGAATGACTATTAATATTATTTATAACGATAAATTATATTATAAAGGATAATATATCAAAGACTTATTGGTTATAAATAATATAACTTTATAAGTAATCATGTTTAATTTTATTTACAAAAGTAATTTTTATTTTTACTACTTTATCATTTATTCTTACTAATTTATTTATTGCTTTTAAAATAATATGCACAATTGTTGAAATAAGCACTTATTTTATTAATTAAATTTTTTTTTTGAAACATTTAGTTTGTAGTATGATGTTCTTGTTCTGTTTGCTGATATTTGGTAAACATTAAAAGAATGAAATATTTATATTTAAGTTTCTCAAAATATTTGAAACACTCTATCTGAAATGTAGAATATTTTATAAATTTTTTTTAATATTCAATGTGAATATAAATGTTAAGGTAATAAACTTTTGAATTGAATTTTTATTTATAAAACAGTTATTTTTTCATATTTTAATTATGCTTTACAAATAATCACATATGCTGCATTAAAAATCTGCTTTTATTTTGAAAATGTACAATTGATAATTCCCATATAGATATAATTGTAACATTTATTTTAGGTTTCTATGCGAATTTTTATCAGTATGACAGTATTAATTATTGTTTATAAAGTGTAAGGAGTTACTAGACACAGATATAGGACATTTGAATCTCATGATTTTTAAGTATAAGACAATTTACGTAATTTTTTATTTATGAAACACGTTGAATATTAATATTATATAAAATATAATAGCAATAAACCTAATGATGAATATGCTACAACATTAAAATTTCATTGTAGGTATGTTAGATCACAAAGGATACTGTTCTTAAGAATCAATTATTTTAGATTTTGTATTGAACGGTATAATTAGATTTTAATTTAAAAATTCATTGGAAATTGGAATACCTATTAATACTTATCATGATGATTTTATTAATAATAAAATTGTCACTAGTGACGTTCGATGACAATAATGTGTTCTAAAATTATTGATCGTGGACATGGAATATCCGATATTGTTACATCAATATGATCGTTTGGTCGGTATTTAAGTCAGTAATGTACTGACGTGAAGTATAATATTATGCTAAATCGGGCTTCATATTTTTATCAAATGTTAGGTTTTAATCTCAGGCTAAGTACTTGAAACAAAATTTTAACTCGATCTTCATTGTTTGACGGACGGCTTTGGCTTTAGAGTTTATAGTAGAAGCAAATTACGTGCGATACAAAACCATAAACATTACAAGACATTCAACAATCTCCGTCATACATAATACATTCTAATTCTATGCGTGTTTAGTCAGTACAACATCGTACACAAAGGTCACAAAGGTAACGTCTCGCGCCTTGTAGTGTACGAGAAAATTGCAAACAATGAAACAAACAACAATGTTAACGACAACGTCGCCAACTACAATGGTCTGCCAGTTTCCCGCCAACGTGTGGCAATTGTTTATCGGTGTTCGTGTTTTAGTAGACATAGACGCATAGTTTTGCGTTTTATCCCGCCATATTGGCGACACTGTGGCACACCGTCCGCCATGTCTTGTGGTGCCGGCACAGCGTTGGCGCGTTCGAAAACCGACCGTTGGACTGAACGTCCTGGAGTACCACCACCACCACCACCACCACCACCACTGCCACCGCATTCCCATCATCGATGCGTACGCCGTATATAGTGTGTACATTGTACAGCGAAAATTCATTTTCGTCGTTATCGCTGTGGCGTCGGTGCGTGATCGTGGTCGACAGTCGTTCAGTCGTGGTCGTCGTCGAGTGAGTTGTTAGGCCTGTCGTCTCACCCCTACCCCGCCACCGTTGCGTCGTGGCTGTCCGCCAGTCTATCGACGTTCCCGTTCCCGCTCATTCGTCCAACGGTTCCCGCGCTATCCGATTAACAAATAACAACCGATACTGTACTGTGCGCTGTATCCCGGTATCGACGTAACGATAGAGTGCTAGTCCGTCTGCCGCTGCCGAATATTTTCGTTGCGACCCGTTTCCGGTACGCCGCCACGAACGTTCTTCAGTTTGCTTTGATATTTCATACTCACGGTCGCTACAATGCATAAAGGTACGTCATGTCGTTCAAAATCGGTTTCGCGTGGTGTGTGGCGTCGTCGACTGACGCTCCGCTGCGATGACGGTGTACTGTTATCACGGGTCCTAGAGTTTACATGCCGGACGTGCACGGGCTTTTCCGTTCCGTGTTACATCGGCTGTGTCTCCCTTTCCTTCCGTCCCTTCCCCGTTAACTGTTGCGTCAGCGTTGGTAGACTTAAGAAACCGTTCCAATTGCTAAACATACCCTAGGGAACCAGAATCGGACGCGATTCAAACTGAACTCGACGATGGTTACTGGCGTTATATTGCTCAAAAAACACACTTTTCAAATAGTTTTTTGTCATATTTACAGTGTTACTTGATGATATTAACAAAGAATCAGACCCCAAATTCCTCCAACATGATAATAATTTTGTGTTGCCAATGACAGGGTATAAATTATGTATGTATTCATTACACGCTATGTACCTACATTTTAAAAACACAGTTTATACTAATTTTAAATAACTTAAACAAAAAATTCTTTGTCCTTAATTTATTTGGCTATTAACTGAAATAACTATGTATTCTTAAGTTTCCGTTGTACATGGTTATTAATTCTATCTTAATTTGATATAACTGTCTGCTTTGAGTTATATCGTTTATGTACAAAAAAAATGTAGAGAGTATTCAAGTATATTTGTTTCTGATTTGACGATACCTCGTACCTAACATTACAGTATTCAAGAACCACTTAATTATGTTTTTAAAGTATGAAAAACTAATTGCTTAAAATTTACTATAAAAATATAGATTAATCAATTTCTAAGTATTTCAATTAATTTCATTAATTTAAATTTTTTCCAACAAAAAAGGTGGTACGTGATATTGCATCATGAAGATAAAAGTTATTTCATCCAAAATGATTTATTTTTTTTATTTTACAATAAATTCATATTATTTCTAGATTTTTTTATTAATATAAACTATGACATTAAAAGAAATATTAAAAAAAAAGTAACAATATCTGTTGATTCTAATATTAATTTTCAAGAGCTGTACAATTTACTTTAACAATTTAAACTCTTTAATAAAACAACCAAATTGCCATTCTCTCTGTGCGTTTCTTAAACATTTCAACTCAAGTACTGTTGTACAAGTTTTGTTTCTATAAATTTTACATAAGATAATTGTACTAATGTATGATATTAAGTATAATAATTATAGATATTTATTTAATATGTCTTATTTAATGATAAAAAAAATCAATCAACAAACAATATTTTAACTAATATTAAAATTAATTGGTTTTGTAGTTACTATCAAGTGCTGAGTATAGCATACATTATAATATATGTTGTGCCTTATATCATTACTTTAATGCAGTGTTTCCCAAACTTTCTTTGTCGGACTCCATAAAGATAATAAAAATAACTGTGGGGCCTCCTTAATAAAAATATAAAATAATAATAAATAATGTAATTTAGTATTTTCATTTTACGTTTGTGGACTCCCTCCAATACACATGCAGACCACAGTTTGGAAAACTCTGTTCTAATGTGTTATACTAGAACAGGGGTCGGCAACCCGCGGCCCGCAGAGCAATTTTTGATGGCCCGCACAAAGGTGGTTAATTTTTGTGTTTTACTTTTGTTCAATAACATTTTTCATATAATTTTCAATATTATATAATTCTTTTTCCTTAATAAATAAAATCTAATTTAACTGTTTCATAATAGCAATACAATTATAAGTATTATATCATAATATGTAATTTTTTTTTTTAATGTAGCCCTTGATGAACAATTGAAAAAAAAATGGCCCGTGTGGTTAAAAAGGTTGCCGACCCCTGTACTAGAAGATTAGTAATCAAGGGCAGACATAATTGGCCCTGGGGAAACAGAAAATTCAGCCTAAATTTCACAGATCTAGGCATAGATTATCCATCTGCCATCCTAGCTAGTCCTCCCCTAGTTCTATATACAGATAAAAATGTAAGAACCTAGTAAAAATATTGATTTAAATGATGGATAACATAAAATACTGTAAAATAATTCACAAGTAAATTATTTTTTAAGTCTGTATTTTAATAAGAAATAATTAAGTATCGTCATATAAATTTTAATTTTGTTTAAACTATTAACTAATTAAATAATTACCTACTATGATTTGATTTTTAAAAATAGCAATGTTATTGAACAATTTTAAATTTTACAATGTCCTGTTATTTTCAAATTAATTAATGAATAAAAGTGAAAGATCTATATGTACACACTTTTTGAAGTAAAAGATAAGCCCAAATAAGTTTTAAAATTTTTTAGTCTACCTTTTTTATATTTATTTAGTTCAAGATTATGAAATGTATTTTGTAGAATTAAATCACAAAAAAATTAAGTTATAAAAGTACCTACCTACTTGTTATTTACTAAAACTAGTTCTGTATCTGTGTATTAATGAGTTATTAGGTACTTATTAGTTATTAGGTATTTAATTGATATAAGGTATAATTTTATTATTATTTATAAGTAATATAAATATTTTAAAAATAATAATGTTAGAGGTAATAGTTTTTTACCCAATAATCCAAACAACAAAATACAAAACCAAAATTATTTTTAATTTTTTAAAATATTATTTACTATTTAATATTTATAATATCCATAATATTTAAGTAATAATTTATCAATATTGTAAGGCTGTAGTAATGAATACAAAACAATATTATAATGTAAAATCTTTTTATTATCTAATGATTAATAGTGTTTCGTTAAGAAAAATAAAACAGGTTAGGCTAAATAAAAACTACACAATCACTGTGATTGTTGTTATTGGCAATTTTCTAAAAAAAAAAAAAATAGCCATTGCTTTGGTAAAATAAATAAAAACTATATCTAATAAACTGAATAATCATGAATGAAAATAGAAACATAACTGATAACCAAATAAGTTTTAAAGATTCCTGCACTAGCTATTAGTATTAATTGTCGACTACATGACAATAATACGTGTAAGTTTATTCATAAAGTATTATTATTAAACTTTTATATTTTATAAGTTATCGGCCTAAATTTATTCAAGCAGCCCAAACTTTCACAGGCCCAGGCGAGGATCACCCACTCGCCACCCTAGCCAGTCTGCCCCTGTTGGTAACTACATCATATTTTAATCTCGTATAGTTTTTATTTACATTGAAATTTTGAATTTGAATGATATACCAATATGTCAATTATTAAAAAAATTGTTTTAGTAATGAATATTCTATTCTAATTTGACTTAAATATCTATTTAGAGCAAATAAAAATTATTTTAATTAAATGTTGTCTCATTTTTTTCAGGAGTGGCTGATAACGAGTATGAAATTGAATCCATTTTATTCGATGATACATATGGGAGTAAAACAATGTATCTTGTTAAATGGAAAAATTATCCTATGGACCAATGCACTTGGGAACCATATCGAAATTTAACAAATTGTGCAAATGCATTAAATGACTACAGATCAAATAAGGTAGTTGCTGCTGACATCTATAAAACTGCACGTTTTAAAGAGCTATATGATTCACTTAATATGTTTGGTGATCAAGAATTGATTGAATTGTTGCACCGCGTCATCGAGGAAGGCATGCCATCTGTAGATGATAAGTTTGTTAGGGGTACTATTGCTTATTTATCAACAGTATCCCCAAGTAGTAGGAGTACATCATTAACTAAATTGATTAGACATAATTTGATGATAATTGAAGTTAACAGAAAAAGGCAAAAACAACTTGATAAATTGTGTAAATGGCAAAATGATATGGCTGCAGTCTGTGGATTTAACATAACTGTTGTAAACAATGTAGACTTTGAAGGCCCACCCAAACGGTTTTATTATGTGGATGAATGTGTGGCTGGGAAAGGAGTTGAAATTCCAAATGACCCTCCAGTTTGGTATGTTAAATGATTGAATGTATTTTATTTTAACTTATATGAGTAATATATTTAATTTTTGATTTAGGTGTCACTGTGATGTTACTTGTGGAGGAAAAAAACGTAAAAAGACTGAATGTCATTTTGGCGATTTTCAACTTGCATATAATAAATTTAAGCGTGTTATAGTTCCTCAAGGCACACCAATTTACGAGTGTAATAAAAAATGTTCTTGTGATAGCACATGTATAAATCGAGTAGTTCAACATGGTCCTAATAAAAATTTTAAACTTCAAATATTTCGTACAGATAACAATCGCGGTTGGGGAGTCAAAACTTTAATAAATATAAAGCAGGGTACCTATATTACTAAATATACTGGTGAAGTGATTACCAGATCAGAATCTGATCAACGGGCTATCACTCATGGTTCAAAGTCAACATACTTGTTTGATCTTGACTACAATACTGATAAAAATGATAGCGTTTATTCTATTGATGCAACTACATTTGGTAATATATCACATTTTATAAATCATTCATGTGATTCCAATCTGGCCATATTTGCTGTGTGGATTGATTGTTTGGATACTAATCTTCCAACTCTGGCATTATTCGCATCTAGAGATATTAGTGCAGGTGAAGAGATAACATTCAATTATATGACTTCTGTTAATAATGAAAATCGGAGAATTAAATGTAAATGTCAATCTAAAAACTGCCGTGGTTACCTGTGTTAGTATAAATAATTTTATTTTCATACTGACACAAAATTTTTATTGACTATTTAATATATTTTTCATCATTATTTATTCTCCAGTAGTATTACATAATATGAAAAAGTAAGATTTTGAATCAATTTTGTTCATTGTTTAGATTAACTAAAAGGGGTAATTTATATGTATATAGTGTAAATTTATAACTGATTAAAGGTAAAGACAAAATATGATGTCTTAATAGTACATCATAAATATTTTTTCAGTCATATCAGAAATTAGTTTATTTTATTTGCATTTTTGAAATTATTTAATAATTATTTTGTAGTTATTTTTTCCCCTAATATGTATTTATTTTTAATAAATACAGTTGAAAACATTTTCTTTAGAAGTACCTAGTAAATGTGACTAAATATCCTACAAAATGTACTATTTATAATCAAATAATTATAATTGTAAAGATACATTCAACTAATCATACAATTATAAATTATTCAAAAGTATTAAATGTATTGCTTTTATATACTATAATATTTTGTTGTTTTTTTTATTATTATTATTATTATTTAATTTCTTCAAAATTAGTTAATGTAAACTGTTTAATTATATTAATGCCAATGTATATTTGATATTGTATTATAATAATAAAAAAATATTTTGTTAAAAATGTAATAATTACTCAATTAGTATTGATCTTTAAAATTCTTAATTACCATTTTTTCATTCTATAATAATTTTTAATGTCAATTTTTTTCCACGTTTTAACAGTTAATTTGTTTTGAATTATTCATTCCATTAAAAATATTGATAATTTTCCATAAGTATATTTAAATGAAAAATGTACTTTCAGAATGTTAATTCAATTAAAATATATTTATTTTTTCTATAGTTAACACAAGTATGTTTTTTTAAATATTCATAAAAACCTTGGTGATATTTAAATTATTTAATACATTAACAAATATGGTAAATATATTTATTTGTGTATTTGTGTATTTTTTATTGTGTTTTAAGACTTAAATAATCATTGTTAGATAAAATTGGACTGCAAAAATTGTTATTCTAAGTTTGTTTATTAAAATTATGTAGTAAGTTTCAATGTTTCTTTTGACAAATAAGTTTGATGATTCATATTGTATAATAATTCATTTGTTTATGATTAAAAGTCATGTTAAATGTAATATATTAAAAGACTGAGTGTAATTTATATTTATTCAGTTGTTTTTAATAATTAAATATTTTTTTTTTAATTCTTTGTTATATATTAAATAACAAAAAATTTTACTTGATATGTAAACTACAATATGATTATAACTTTATCACATTTTAATGTATCTGATGAGTTTAATGTTATAAATAGTATACGATGTAATACATACTATTGGAATACACTGTATATGGATTTAACAGGTACTAAATATTTGATCATAGTTAACTGCTGTAATATTAAATAAAACATGAAAGTTATTTTAAAGCCAATTTTAATTTTGAAAGTGATTGATTAGAAATATTTTTAAATAACTGAATTTTATATTAATTTATTAATTTTGTATTTTTTTTTCAAAGACTACGTTTAAATTTTTTTTTGAATAAAATATACCTTTTACTTGTATATTGTAAAGTTATTTTATTTTTGTTTATTTCTTTATTTTTCTATGCATTTAAAGAGTGTTTAGTTTAGGCCAGAGGTATTCAAACTTTTTCATCCACCAGTTCCTTTTTTTCTTCACAATATTTTGATGACTATCATATAAGTAATGGCAAAAAAGCAATGGTTATATTATGTATGTAAATAATTATATTATTATTATATTTATTTATCAAACGACTGTATAAAATCAATTTAGAATTAGATAGGTAATATTAATAAAATGAGTAATTGTTTTATGCTTAATAAAAAACAAATCAATATTTTGTCAGATGTATGAGCTTATTTCCATGACCATAATATATTCAAATCTTGGTTAATTTTAGAAATAGCTATTCTCATCTCCTTGACGTTCACTTTTAAAAACGTTATTAGTCTCGTGTGTTCGTCATCGTTAACTTCGTGTAGTCAAAACAAATTGATACAAACAATGTTTTCGTACTTTTTCTTAAAAAAATATAAAATTGATAATTAAATTTTTCAATAAGTATTTCATTATACAGTTGACTCTCGATAATTCAATCATTTAATAATTCGAAGTAAATACTCGGCCCCTTGAAAATCACGCGGTAATTCGAACAAAAACAATGCATTTAACTATACTCGGTAATTCAAAATTAAATTTTAAGAAAATTAGCCACCAACATTTGATAATTCGAAAAATCATTCGTTCAACGTTCGGAAATTCGAAGTATATTCACCAAATGTATTTTATCTGTATTCTTATCATCTTTTTGTTAATAATTTACTATACAATCGTGTAGAGATTTAGCTTATTATTTTCTACAACTATAGATTATTATCGTAATAACCTTATCGTATTATCTTAATTGTTTCTAATCGTAATTTAACTCGTCGAGTCGTGGATAACCGTCAGCCGAATATAGTTTTATTTTAGTTTCGTTTGGTCGGTTATAATAATAATTTAATTTACATAGTTTAATTACATATTATATAGTTTCATTTAAAATTTAAAAACAATAAATAATTCTAATATGTACCGCCTAATTTACTGAAATAATTAATATGTACAATAATAAAAAACTAAATGTTTTTCTTAACTCTTGGTAATTCGAAGTTTTCCAACAGTCCTGTCAACTTCGAATTATCGAGAGTTAACTGTATCTGTATGTTCCATCCATTCATTATGTCTTTTTAAATATATGAGACATATTGATTTTTATAAAATCTTTAACTGCTCTAAGCCGTAGGAGTTAGACAATCATATTTTATTCGTTTCAAATTATACGAAGAAATCGAAAATGAATATTAAAAATTTAGTTGAACTATAACAATATAATATTTGTTATATCAAAACAAGCCTAAGGTGGGAATTAGAAAATTAAAATCATATTAAAAATATTATTTTCAAAATATTTGATTTAATGATTTTTAGGAAATTCTTACCCGTATCAAACATCGGTCGTTATATTGGTCAATGCATAGACAAAAGTCAAGAATACTGGGTAAATGGTCAGTTAAGGTTGTACATAACATCGCGATCACATTTATTTCCACTATTTCCAGTATACTGTTAGTATGGAGTATATACTCCATTGAGAGGAGTCGAGGTCTATTCAGTCTATGTTTCCTGTGATGTATGGTACAATATTAGGTACATCAATAATTATTAAGTTTTAATTTTACAACTATTTTAGCTCAACAAATTATTATAGTACAATAATATTATTACTTATTATAATATAAACATGAAATAAAAAATGTTTCTACCTAATTATTATTAGGCAGATACAAAGACACATTATCCGGTATTTTTGAAACATTAGTGAGGTACAATGTATAACCTAGGATAAGACCATTATGTTACAATGAGGATAATTTGACGAAAATAGCTATGGAGATAAGAAAGCTTTGGGGATTAGTGTTTTAAGAACTGAGGAGTGAAGAGTAATTAGTAGACTATTTAGAGAGTTGAAGTTAGTGATAAAAAATTAGATAATATGACGGAAAAGTGTTCTGTGGAAAAATCTCGAGTCCGGGTGGCTTCAGCGTAAAGTTTCGGTCTGGAATGATGGTTTGACTCCGGAAATTTGGCTGGAGGTGCTTTTGAGGGTCTTATTTTTTTCGAGCTCTTTTGAAAACTGGGCATCCCCTTAAATAGGTAATGTGTCTCCGGAGCAAAGTGCACACTTGGCTGGACTTTTCCGGTTCTTGGCGGCTTGGCGCACTCGCTAATATGATGTTCCGCTTGTTCCGCACCATGTTTAACCCAGTGAAAGATGTTATTGCAATAGTTTTGCGTATGGCCTAAAAGATTGGCAATCATGACATTGTCAAACGCTATGGCTCTTTTTGTAGGGTTTTTCGATAACCACTTTGGTATTAAGCAACGACTTAATATTGTGAATGTCCTCATTTTTTTTATTCGGGTAGATCTCCACAAATAATATAGTGAAGGAGAAGTTTATTTTTGTCTTTGGCGTTGTGAATGTGTTTTACTTGATGTCCTAGTTCATCCAGAGTGAAAGATGTCGGTATAGATATTTAAGGTCGAAAGGTGTAAATTTCTGATGACAACCCTGTAAAGACGTTGGACGCGAGGTAAAAATGAATGAAAACTGGTGTCAGTTTCATTTAAGTGAGAGATAATTTTGTTAAAGATAATATGAGTAATATGACCTAAAGGTTGGACGATGAGATGAGAAGTCGAAGACTTGTAAATAAAAGCGTTTGGGCCTGTAATACTTGTCAGAATGAAGTTGAAGGCGGAGTAATTTGCTGTGTTATTTAGGTTGATTGATGGAGCCGGAGGATCAATATCCTGGACGGTGTGAGGTGACATAGTGAAATCGTCTTTGGAGTTGTTTGAAGGCATGGAAATATTGCTATTTTTACAGGTATCATAATTGGTGAAAACGGTAAACTTGTTCGGTGAAACGAAAAATTTTGATTTTTATCATTCTAATTAGCTGACAAAGACGAAAATTTGACAGTTGACGTTTTGGGGTGCTGCGTGTACTCGCAATTCTGAACCAGTTATTTGAATATTTTTATTCGGTGACATTGTTAATTGGAAACGAAAATGACAACGTGCGTACTGCAGCTATAACGGAGCGAGATAATACGAATTACGAAGTACACGTTAAACGTTACAGCTGAACTAATAATTATTAAGCTTATTGTTCAATTATTGTAACAGGTTGCCTAATAAAAAAATTTTGCTAAAAAAAAATATTGTTCATAACTCGTTTAAAAAAAAAAAAATCATTGATTTTTAACTTTTTGTGATTTATTAAATAATATTTTCTTTTTTTAGATTTGATGATGGGTCAATTTACTGTAATTCAACACAACAGACTGGAATATTCAGACGTACAATAGGGCGTGCGCCAGCCGCTAACGCCATCAACCAGTTGCACTTAACCAATTGCATAAATTTTTCTTACATATAGATATTATATGCATAATTACAATACTAACACATAAAATAAGGTGAGTTAATATTTAAATTAGTGAAGATAAAAATAAATATGTAATATATTACGAAGAATAAATATATATACTACGTATGTTAATAGTAATAATTGGCATACAATGTAGTTTCTTAAAAATGAAATGTACCTAATAAAAAGATCACCTAGTTTAATAAAGAAGGGGGATTTTATCAGAATTGGAATTTTAGACGCATCTATAGTCTGTACACGATAAATAATAACATATAATGACTTTCAATTGCCGATGTACAACGTGTCTAGGAGGGGAATGATCGGCCGATGTTATAATATTTAATGATGATCATTGTATAATGATATTATACATCAGTATACTTAACCTAAGTTATGAATATAACCTTTTTAAGGAAGAGTGTAACTCTTAATTTATAAAAATGGTAATTAACTTTTTTTAAGTGAAACTGAATCTACCCACTTATTTATTGATGTATCTTCAAAAATTTTTTATCGCAATTTTTTTTTTTTTAATTTTAAAGCTATTTTATTGTACTTTCAACCAACATATACGATTAGATAGAAACTAAATATCATCAAAAAAATTAGCATGTTGGTAAGTAAATCACGTTTAAACTCCATAAAATATCATATTTACTAGTTTTATTTTTACTTTATTATTCTACTGTATAATACTTGGAATACTGTAAAATTTGTTTTCGTATCTTACATTATTTCCTAGTAATATGTTGTTAAGCGTGATTATCTTAGGATTCTCCGAATCGTCTATCGGCTTCATAACGGGATTTTGAAAGGGGGAAATAATGTTTCACACCATCGTTATGTTGATAGTTGTGATTGTTGTGAACTTATGATGTAAACTGTAAAACGTGATAAGTTAAATGTGCTGATGTTCGTTTAAGTTTGGTTATTACTTATTAGTTTTGGATGGTAATTTCGGTTTTGTTAAAAAAGAAAGTCAAAATACCCGTAACTAAAACGTCTAAAACAATAAAAGAGTTAGACTTTTTCATTGATTATAGAATTCTGTTATCAATGGACTCCTTTAGAGAAGTTTTTTTTCATAACCTAAAGTACCTATTAATATTAATTTTTTTTTTTTATCAAATATTGAGCCGGCCGGTCACTTCCTCTCAGGATACATTATTTAGGTAACATTGGTAATGAGTGAACGAGTGTCGAGTAATGATAATTATTACAGTTTATTGTAAAACGCGTCTTACTATATCATTTATTATATCTTTATTATTATTTTAAATGTGTTCAAAATCAAAAGCCGTTAGGCCATTAGTTATTTTAATCGTGGAATTAACAGATTTTACCTTACTCCGTCATAATGGAAAGGGGTTCTAACTATATGATAAAGACCGATTATATTATCGATTCTAATTCAGAAATAAATGACTTCACTTAATTTCCGGGCTCTCGTTACTACCCTTTAGTGAAGTAAACGATTGTATTATTGAATACTTAATACCGGCTTAGTATTTAAAAAAAAAAAAAATGGTTGAACTTTTTGATTATATTTTGGTTGATACACAATATAACATATTTCTTAGAAATAGAACTTGGGTATGGGATGTCCGAATTTTCATTTTTATAAATATTCTTAAAGAAGTTCTAACAGTAAACATATTTTATACCTACGTAGTCTATACCAGCGTTTCTCAACCTTTTCACTGTGGCGACCTCCTTTTTGAATTTCGAATTTTTAGCGACTCTTTACATATATTTTTTATATACTCGCATAGATTATTATTAATTACCATAATAGTACTATACAAAATACAGTGTTTTATATTTATTGATTTTATTTTTTTCATTATTTTATTTTATTATTTGAGCTTTTAAATTTTTGTATTTTTGTATTAGAATCATAGATTAGCGACCTTAATTAATAAATTGGCGACCCCCAGGTTGAGAAATACTGGACTGTATACCAATATCATATCTAGTTTTTTTTTTTTTTTATTATTTATTTATTTACACTTAAGCTAGGGCATTGTCCGGCTGTCATTCTCTTTGGTACTCGAATTCCGTCTATTCCAACAGTAAAATATTTTGGCTTAACCCTTGATCGCAGACACATCTGGGCCCAACATACGCATGTAAAAAGATTACAACTAAACTTCCGACTTCTTATGCTTTAAAATCTTACTAGTTAATAACAAACACACAAATCTAAAAACAAAACTACTAATGTATGAATCCCTCATCAAACCCATTTGGACTTATGGTTTCCAACTCTGGGGAAATACTAAAAAATCAAATCTAAATCGTATTCAAGCTTTTTAAAATATTGCATTAAGAGAATTAACGAACTTCCCCTCTTATGTTTCAAATCATTCCTTTTACGCAGACCTGAAAATTAAAACTGTAAGAGAAAAAGCAGTAACTCATTATAAAAGATTCCATAACCGACTTGCAACTCATTCCAATCCTCTTATTCAAGCTCTGTCATCAAATGTTATTCCGGGTAATCCTCCAAGGCGCTTAAAACGAAATTGATGTAGAGATATGTTAACATTAAAAAAAAAAATGAGATATATATATATATAATATATGTAAAAATAAAAATGAATGTACAACCTCACTTAAAAGTGCATCACTGGATGGCTGTTTTTATCAAGATTTTTATGTATTATATTTATTTTAGCCAATACTCTTATTGTACCCTTGAGGTATAGATTTTGTATATATTATAACAAAAAAAAATTATTTATTAATATTAAAACGTTTTAATACATTAGGTGCTTTTAAAAGTTCAGTAAATTACAATTTAAATTTAATTTTTACATTTATATTATTGATAAAAATGATATAATAATATTTAAAAGTTATAGATTCTATATTTTAGTGTTGTATATTTTCATTTTCCGATGAGAGCTCTTCAATATTCGTTAGGACGTTAGGAGGACGTTTTGGGACAATTGAGGTCGTAGTCGCCTATTTTGAGTTTTAAATAGATAATATAATTTAATAGGGCTGTTGAATTATACATAGGCCGTCACATAATTATTTTTATTGAAAATAAAAAAATAATGTTTCAACAATCAATTTTTATTTAAAATAATAATAAAAACTATTGGTAACATTAAAATACTTAAATACCCGTGTAAAAATTAAGAACATATAAATTTAAAATCATAAGGCAAAATCTAATTTTCTTTTGGTTTTTGAAAACCTGTTAATAACTTATTTTCATAATAAACTATTAAGTTTATTAAAACACCCATGTGGAAGCATATATACGGGTGGCGACTATGAGAAGAACGTTGATGCGCGAGTGCGCGACGTGACGTCTGACGTTGTTGGTCGGCACGATTAGAAATTGTCGACTTATAAATAGGATGATTCGTAAAACTTCTTACATAGGTATTGTATAAACTATTTTAAATGTATAATATTTAACAACAATATATAAAATTAAATTTTTTTTGAGAAATTCGGGAAGCTATCGCTTCCACGCTTGTACCTGCGCACCTCTTGATCAGCGATGATCAGTGATCACGGTCTTGCATCGTAGAAAATAAGAAAGATATCTGGTGATTAGGTAAACCTAAATAGTCATTAAATGATTAAATATATAGTGGTTTTTAAATTATAATATCAAAATGTTCACAATTCACAGATAGACAGATAATTATGCGAAATGATGAAATATAAAATATTAGCTGTAGCATATTAATAATTAATATTATAATTTAATATTTATAGGTAGTTAATAGTTATGTAACATATCGTGTTATCTTATAATCTACAGAGAGAATGAATTATTAACGGCGGAGGAAGTGTCTTGTGTGATAAACGTTATCAGTTATCACATTTTTACCATGATCAATATCAGTATCGTAATCTAAATTGTGATATCATCGTTAGCCGTTCGGCACTTTTACGTTTGACCGTGTGTCCGTGTACATCTCTTCATTTCTCTTTGCGCGCGCAGTGCCGCCGGCCCTGTGGACTTCGCCTGTACTTTTCTGATGTAAGACGATTGTACTCGAGGAGCGTCTCGCAAACGCCCTACCAACAGCTGAACACGGCAATCGCGTTCGGAGCTTGTCAACGTCGGTTTCCAGTGTGGAACCATGGCCAACTCTGTGCGCAAGATTTGCACGAAAATCGGAAACGGCCATCAGTACTTGTTGGGCACAGCCAAAACGTCAGCGTACGGTTGTCACGTCGTGTCGGACACCGTTCAACAGCACTTGGTTAGACCACAGGTAAATCGCTTGACCGCGTGCTTAATTGCTCGCCGATAAGGTCACCTGTCAAGGGTGTTTCCTACAACGGGGTGGTTTTTCCGGTTTCAGGTCGAAACAATGTGCAAGATCAATTATGCCGAAAATTTGTTCCGTCAGTCACAGCCGTTGCTCGATTACATTGTTCGACCTGTAAAAAACCAACAATCCGCAGAAGCGGCCGTTGAGTGGCTCAACTCTGGGTTTAGCAGACGTGCAAACCCCAGAAATGGCGTTTATCACAGCACCGCGTTAAAACAAGACAATTCTACCAAGTCTGACGAAAAAATCAGCACACCAGATTCTAAAGGACTTCCTAGTCAAGAACAGCTAGATCTTGTTTGTGATAGGTTGGCAGAAGATGTAAGTAATCAAATATGTTGATATAATTAGTAAATATTTTACTTGAATATAACTGCTCAGATGACTATGTGTTCTATAATGTATTATATTTTTATTTTTTAGTTACCATTAATGTTCAGACAAAATTTAGATTATGCATTATACCATCCCAAATTAGTATTTGAGAATAATATTAGAGGAACTAAGAGTGTGTAAGTAAATAAAGAAAAATAATTTTTATACAATTTATAACTTATTACATTAAACCTGTTTTTAGAGGCTTAGAATATTTTATGTCAACAATTTCTATATTACGTTTGATGGGCCATTTAAAATATGCTTTTGTAAAATTTGATATTTTAAAAATAACTAAACATCCAGAAGATGGAACGATTAAAATGCGTTGGAGAATCAAAGGTATATCAGGAATGAAAGTATTCTTGAAGTTTTGGAAATTCAGACTATGGAACTTGGAACAAGTCATAAAAGAAAATGTAGAATCGTACGTGTATTATTCTTTAACTAATTGCGTAATAATACCAACTAATAAGTTTCTAGTTCAAGTATTTATTCCAAGGTTTTTTTTTTTAACTTAAAGCTTTTAAATATTAATACCTAATAATTAGTGATTTTAATGAAACCCAATTTTTTAACTGCATATTTTAGTAATATTTCTTTCATTCAAGCTAGTCATAATTTATGTATAGTGAATCTTTCATTTAATTATAATTTAAAGAAATATTTCTGAGAACCATATTCAAAATAGTACCAAATTTATGTTATTCAATATTAAAAACTTTTCGACAACAAGAAGTTTTTTGTTATTCACTGAGACTTGGTAATATAAAATATAATTCTATTAAAGTTCAGTTTAGAATTAAATTACATATTATTTTTTTCTAGTATAATACTAATTTAAGAATATCTTTTAAATAGAATTCAATATTACTAATTACTAGCATAAATAAATATTATTACAAATGTCATCTTTATTTGTCAATTAATAAAATAATAATTTTATTGTATTTTAGATGGCATGATGGTTTTTCAATATTCTATTTAGGATCTGATGGTTTGGTTCATAAGCTTACTGCAGACAAAGTATGTTAAATTTTAAATATTTTGTGGCTAATACAAAGTGTGTCATGTTACTTTGTTTATGTTTAGATGCAACCATTTAACGACCCAGTAATAGAGGATAAAAATCCACTAGCAACGAAATTGGCTCTCTTTTTAGGACTATCACCGCAGTTGGGTAATTTGGATTGCTTAGTTTCATTTGACTCTGAACAGACAAATGAATTACTGAAGATGGTTATTATGTCTCTAGAAGATGTCGTTTAATATTAAAGACACAACATTCAAAAATACTTCGTGCCCTGTTAAAAAATATTCATTATTTTTATACCGTTAAAACCTTTGTTAAATAATATTCATGTGGCCGTTGTATATTTGTTGTTTTGTTAATTTATGAAGAAATGTTTGTTGATTATAAAATAGTTAAACAAGTAGATGTCAATTTAACCTAACATCGTTAATGTCATTATTTGTGATGAAAACACTAAATTGCTTATAGAATTACAAAATACCGTAGATAAGCATTGCAATTGACTTTTCGTGTAAATCAAATATAAATAAAACGCTTAATGGTTTTATCAAATTTCATGTCATCTTTTTTGAGTATTAATGTTACTTCATTTTTGTATTTTATTAATTTGATGTTTTTGAGTAAATATGAAACTACTGTGTAGATGCTCATTTGTTGTTAATAAACTTATGTGACCACTGATTTAATATATTTGTTATTTAAAACGACACCATCAATTATTTACTTGCCCTTTCAATGTAATATAAATAAGATTCTTGTTATTCATGTTGAAGCAATAATTATTTGTATGATTAATCAATGTTTAAATAGGTTATAAATTGGCATGTCTAGAATAGATGAATAAATAAATCCAGTGATGCAGTGTAGGTTTAGAGTGCCACAGCTGAGTAAAAACTCCCTAATGCAGGGGCGGCCAAACAGTCGATCGCAAACGATTTTAAAGTCGATCGTGCTAAAATTTATTTTTAGGCTGCGCACACGAAAATTAATTATGGTGGTATAGTAACTTAATAATAATAAAAACTTTTTTATTGAAGTCGATCCTCAAATGTGAAGTATATTTTTAGTAGATCGCGGCCGAAAAAAGTTTGACCGTCCCTGCCCTAATGTGATGTGTGTATTTACAGTTAACGCAAGTCAATCGACTTGTGTTCAGCTTGAAGTGTAATATTAAAAAAATATGTCGACAGTCAACACTTCTGTAGTCTAAGCTAATAAACCAATTGACTGCAATTAATGTACGTGGGTCTATGAGTATACTAAATGGATATTATTCTTAAAATTTCAAGTTGGTCAGAATTCAGAGGACTACAGTCTGAAAAATATGTGAATGTATCAGCAACTCAAAATGCTAATAATTGTCAACAATTTACTTCCTATATAACACCTATATCAGCTGTGCCAGCCTTGATATTGTGTGTTGTGGGATGTCGGCTGCATTTGCTATTTTAATTTTAAACAATACGTGTCAGAAAAAGTAATGCTGTTGTGATATGTCAATGCATACATTATTGCATTGAAATTTAAAACCAGAGCAATTGTTCATGTTTATTATTAAATATTTTATATTAACACTGTAATTTGAATATTTGACGTGTTAACTAATTTCAACTTTTAGTGCGCTAATCGTCATGACAACGTACTCAGGAATTTTGAAAGCTCGTGCAGTTAACCTAAGTATCCACCCCCTTTTTTTTCAAATGTAGAGAATGTCCTTGCTAATACTTTTCACATAGATGGTTCATAAAAATTAATTGATATAATTAATATTTCAAATTTCCATTTGACATTAATTGTTTACATCCCGCCCCCACACCCAAAAACCATTTTGGCTCACGGTATCATTGTATTTATCCACATGGCTCGCTAACATATATTTACATATTTATGTTGGCCGCCTTTGATCTATTAACTGAGAAAACTTTATTTGCAAAAATTACTTTATTCTTAAATTATGACAATAACAGTTTAAGAGTTTCGATTAATAATATTTTTTATATTTGTTAAATTAAATGATTAAATGATTGTATTAAAACTTTATCATATAGTCTGTCTGACTGTATGGAATAAGTACATATTAAAGTAAATTTTTAAGGTTTTTGTAATTACATTAAAATATTTGTTCTAGATTGAAAAAGACATTTTGTAAAACTATCTATAAAGAGTGAATAATCAATGAAAGTTAAAGCAAATTTTTAATAATGAAAAAATATTGTTTTATTATTAGAGTAAGTCTTACATTCATCCAATTTTATATTAAATATTCCTTAAATGGTGTTTTAAACAACCAAAAATAAATGTTGAAGAAATTCTGAACAGTAGTGCTGGTGACATGTATTAAATTAATATTTATATTAGTATTTTTTACTAGCAACTTTCTTGATAAGCGCTGTTCGTTGTTTATGGGCTTCAGTAATTGGTGCTTTCTTATACGGTTTCAATTCATCAGTGCCAAAACCAGGTATCCACATATTTAAGTACCGTTCTGTAAAACATAAACAATGGTTATATTTTAAATTCAAATTCTAATAAAATTATTTTACATTTAACAATTATTTTAATAGTAACCTAAGTAAATTTGGACGTCTTTAACTTCAACAATATTTGATTTTCTGTGTTTAGCAAATACGCACGCTGCTTTGACTAATTCATTGACAAAATCATCAGATAATTGCAACATAAGATCTTCTACGTCTTCTTCTAACTGTTCATTTGGATCAACTTCTTTGACTAGTTCACGCAAACGTGTTTTTGTTAACAACTATAAAAAAAAAAAAAATATTTTATAAGTTGTTACATATTATAATACAAAAAATAGTTAAAAATCAAAATCAGTTATGCATTATTTTGATTTTTATAAAAATTATTTTTGGTTATTTAATTATAATTTCAGAAATAGAAAATGTAAAAATTTGTCGACAACCATAACCAGAAAACTATTTATAAACAGGCACATTGCACAATAAACTGTAATAATAGAAAAAAGTGTTCATGTGAACATTATGGCATTAACCTAACATTTAAAAATAATTGAATTGGTTACTAAATGGGCTTTGTTATACTTAGATAATTTTTCATTTTATTTTACAAAAAATATAATAAATGTAATCGATTAAAATGTTCACGATTAGGGCTTATAAAATTTAATGTTTCTACAACAATTTTTTTTTAGTAATACAATCTAAACAGTTTTTATATTTGCAGTATTTACTGATATAGATGAAACATTTGTAATGAAATAATTTTAAAATTATTATCTATGTAATTATTACTAATGTATCAATATATTTTTTCATTTATTATTTGGTTACTTATTGTATTTTTTATAAGCAATGCTAAATTATATTGATGATACTATGTTTCATAATTGTACATTGGTATTTAACACGAGAGTAATGTTAGAGTGGCATACATAACTTCTTGATTGAGAAAAAAATGTCAAAAATAATTTATTTATCTTATAATCAACATATATAAATATGTGAATTTGAATTTCTTGCATAATTTTTTTATCTATTACAGTAAAAATGCATAATTAAATATTTTAATTGTTTAGAAAAAAACAAAAATCTTTATTTTCCCAAAAATTAGTTAGACATTGCTATTAATTAATTATATCTATATGCTAAGTTAATAGAATTATAGGATTATTTAGAGAAATACTTACAGCTGCACTGTCTGCATTAATCAAGCTTTTAATGGTAAGTTGTGGTGGTTGTGGCAATTCCTGTTGCTGTTGCTGTTGCTGTGATGGTAATTGTTGCTGAACCATTTGTTGTTGTTGTGGCTGCTGCACTGTCTGTTGTTGTTGCTGTGACGGTAATTGTTGTTGTTGCGTCACTAGTGGTTGTAGTTGCTGTATTGTCTGCTGTTGCTGTTGCTGCTGCTGTGACGGTAGTTGCTGTGCTGCTTGTTGTTGTTGCGGTAGTTGTTGTTGTTGCTGCTGTTGCTGAGACGTTAGTTGTTGCGGTAGTTGCTGCTGCTGAGACGTTAGTTGTTGCGGTAGTTGCTGCTGCTG